AATCAAAAATGGACAATTTCTTTCACTCCACGGTCACAAATATTTCGTAACATATTTTATAAAAATGCGAAAAATTCTGCTGAGTTTCCAAAACTCAAGAGAAGCTATGCAGGAATCTTCCTTGTGCCTATTCAGTGGTCTCTTGTGGCTCGAGGAAATACCGCACTTTTAAATTTAGGTTGATGCTCTTCCTTGTGTGGAAAAAATGATGATGAATGATTGTGAAATGCTTCCCCATAACCGAGCTGCTTGCAATGATAACGAAATGATTCACTGTGTTTTCGGCGATGTTCTAAACATTTGGTTGTGCCCTGTATGATCGCATTACAAGTGATATGTGGACACATCTGAAAAAACAACTATTGTGACATTTGTGTTTTTAAGGTTTTTCTATTACTTTATTTGTTAATTAATTGACTCAATCTGAAAACTGATTACGAAAATATCAGTGAGATGAAGTAGAGTTATCACATCGTATTTTGATTAACTTTAGTCATGAGACTCTCTCCACTCGTTTTTGGGCATCTTTCAAACAAAAATATTTTATTATTAACAAAATAGCTGATTGCGATAAGATGAGATCAGTTTCGGTTTTCAATTTTTTGTTCTTATAGTACCCAATGGAAGTCACCTGGAATACCATCATCTACTATGACGTCCTTATTGCTCGACTGATTCGGCTGAACAACTTGAACTGCTGTACTTTGGTCGGAAAAGCCATCAATGGGAATAATAAACCGATGAAAATAGATAGGAATGGCATTTTGCGAACCAGGATAATGAACGATAATGTTTTCAGTGGTGACATTAAATGAAAAGAAAGTTCTAGTCTGAACTGAAGCGATGCATAGCAGAAGATTGAACCAAATGATATATGCAATCGATATAATGAAGAACAAGACGAAGCACAGAACTTTTGAAATAACAGAAATGCTCGAATGGAAACTTTCCAGTTCAGATTGGATGGAATTAAACGACCAATTCATGCGATTCACATTATTTTTTATATTTCTCTCTCTTGCATTCTCATTTGCCGATCTCTGAACTGGCAGTTGATGAATGCGCCTTTGGACTACTATGAAATAGGGAAAGGTTGAAAGTTTTGATGACATAGAGAATGTGAAGACTTGTGTAAATTGAAACTGGCGCATTATTGGTATTAAATGTCCCTGGTTGAAGAAGCATTTAATCCGTACGATATTGAATAACTCTGTTTACATTTTGTGGCATTGTTATGGAAATTTCCGGTTTTTCGTTTTTGTGGCGTTAATCAATTGTTAATGCAAACATGTTGGAAAATATTGGCAAATTGTTTTTTGGAGAGGACAAACTGTTTTTGGGACATATTGTATTGGGACAAATTGGTTTTGAGAGTTCCATCATTCATTGTTAAATAAATATGTTCTGCTGCTTCCTATTTGTAGTTTCTCATTTGAATAACATATTAAAATAGTAAAGACATTTAAAGATCGTACGCTTCTAAAACTCTTCAAACTATTGCTTAGATTACTTAATTAGCATATTTGATATGACATTACGGCAAAATAGACGGTCACAAAAAAGCAGTCGGACTTTTTCTAATCAGTGTTTGTAATTAGATGTCCTGATGATAATAGGGAAAGATTGAAAGTTTCGATGACACAGAGAATGTGAAGATTTGTATAAATTGTAACTGGCGGATTGGTATTAAATGTTATTGGTATTAAATGTTATGTGTTGTTATGTGTTGGTATTAAATGTTATTGGTTAAAGGAATATTTAATCCGTGCGGTATTGAATAATTTTGTTTGCATTCTGTGATATTGTTATGGAAATTTCCGGTTTTTCGTTTTTGTGGCGTTAGTCAATTGTTAATGCAAACATATTGGGACATATTGGCACATTGTTTTGGGGGGACAAATTGTATTGGGACGAATAGTTTTTGAAAGTTCCATCATTTGTTGTCAAAAAAAAAAAATGTTTTGCTGCTTCCTATTTATAATTTCTCATTTGAATAACATTATAAAATATTAAAGACTGTCGGATTACCGAAATTAAAGCTACGTTCAAATAAAATTTCCACAATATCTAACAGAGGAGATGATGGAATCTTGTAGGTAAAATTAAAGCAATGAAGAGAATATAAGCTAACAATGGACAGCATAACACAAAAACGTTTCAGTATCTACACCATGGACAATGATATCCATTGTACCTACGCAAGGGACAAATGCCAAAGGGCAGCCATACCTCCATGATAACTCCGATGGAGCTTACAAAACTCCATAATCCTTACATATAAATTTACAATTTTTACAAAAAAAGAAACAGTTTAGTTTTCACAAAAATTTACAATCAAGCAGGCAGTACATCCTCTTCGCAAATCCTCCATGACCGAACCACAAATAACGACATCTTCGTATATCCGCCATCATTGGACAACAAATTACAATATTCTTTTTATTCGCTAAATACATTTCCCGTAACATATCCCCAACTCAACGACATATCAACTAATCGACAATAAAATTATTATCGAAAGCAACGACAAGGAATTTGTTAGTTGATCATATTGCTTGCTTTTGTATAAAACTCATTTATCACTTCATCGTGTAATATATACATATATATTTTACACCCCTTTTGTTGTTAATTAGTAATATTGTGTAAGAACAACATTAACATTCCGAATAAATTTATATCACTGAGAAACGAATTCAACAGATTAGCTTTTCCGATATCAATGGAATCTTATCAAAAACAGCAAATCCATCAGTATACTAGTTGTCTATAATTAATTTTTTTAAATTCGGCCGTCTTTCCCATTGAATTGAAATTTTTTATATTCGGAATTTTTTTTTTCGAAATATTAATCATAGCGCTGTTGAATAAGAAACATTTTTTCTTCTGATTATTTGTAGCATTTCATTGTGCATTTTCATGACGTATTCTATAGCATAAATTATGCATTCATCGAATTTTTTACAGTGCTAATTTATAAAGCCTCAAAGCTGCGTGAACTTTTACGTCCTTCTTAAAGTCATTCAAAAGTATTGAAAAACAAATTACTTTTTTGATATAAACATTTTTTTAATTTTAATATTGGCTTCTTTGTTACTAACCTTTTTAGTTTTCTGAATAAAATTTTTCTTATTTTAACTTGGTAGAAATTTACCAATCCATAAAGTCGACAATTTTAAAATACTATCACAAATACGAAAACGATACTCATGCATATCATTAATCTTAGGAGCTGTCGATTATGTACTCACAACTAGATTTTAGAAGCAAAAAATGCTCCATGTTAGAAAAACTTTACGAAAATTACGTAATAATTTTAGATTGAGGTTAAAATTCATTCCATACATTAAGTACCATGAGAAGGAACAATTTGATTATAGTAATATCAAAAATTTTCCCTGATTGCCATAATATCACGAATGATTACTGTAATAATTATAGTGATATCAAAAAGTAACTCAAGCAAATCTAAGATCCTAAAAAGAAATCATTTAATTCCGATAGCAGTAGTATAATCTATGGAATTTATTCATCTTAAAACAATGCAACTTCGGTATTTCAATAATACCAATAATTGAATTAACATGACATGAAAATTTTTCTGCCATATCAAGTTGTTTTCATTGAAAACGAGATTTTTTTTCGGAACTTTATCCTTGAAATTTTGGAAAATTTGCGAGTTATTGTCTATAAATTGGAAATATTTGCATGCAAATATTCTAATGATCCAAAGCAGCATATATTGTTGTGATTGAACAGTCGATGTATCAATCTATCGTTTATCGAAATACCAAATCTGATTATTATGTAAAATTGACGTTCGTAACTTTATTTCAATTGTTTCAATTTCTTTCTCATCAATTTAAAATTTAAATTTATGATTATAAGAAAAAATTAGAATAAGCCATACATTTTTCGAAATTCTTAACTTTTGCTGAAATTTTTTGCTTGCAATGAAAATTGACTGCTAACTGATAAAGTGATATGATTGTGAATGCAACAAATACTTTCAAATTCCATTTTGTTTTTTGAACTTTTCATCTTCCGTTTGTTCTAAGGCCGAGTAATTCTGTGAATGTGATGATTCTGTTGAATTTCAATGAAAAATGTAAAAAGAAAGAAATACTAAAAGCTCTGTATGGCACCAGAAAGAACTTTAGAAAAATTAAAATTAAGCGAGAAAAAATTCTCAGAATTTATGTCATCTTTTTATAATCTGGTAAAAAACGAGTAAAGAAAGACGAAACTTGACGAAATTTCTTCACTTTGATATAAGCTTAATATTGTTTGAATTTAATTAGAACTAAAATTGATAATTTGATTAATAGATTCTCATTCAGTAATTTTTCTATTTATTTCAGCGTCAATATTTTAGAATGTGAACTGCGTCAAATTGTATTCACAAATAGTGCTTCAAAAGACATTTTGCACGTCAACAAACAGCATTATATTACTGAAACTGGCAAACGATGTGTCATCCATCGATTGTGAAATGAATGAAATGTGAAATCACCGCATTTAAAGTTGTTAATTGTATACCAGTTATAGTATATATTCCGCGTGAGTTATTGGAAGTGGACTGGAAGTTGAAGCATTGCTGGTAACAGGGAACTGATCAAAAATGCGCGAAGATGCAAGTTGTCTGTCCGGTTTATGCATGAATTGATTTGTCAGAGCAAATATATATATATATATATATATATGTTTTTCTATATATACATATATCGATACATATAAGAGATCAAATTGAAATTACGGGATGAAGCTGGTAGCTGTTTTGGATGCAAAATGTTCTTGCAACAGTAACTCTTTATTATTTGTACTTCGCGCATGCATGCCTGCCTATCTTCATTTATAGAATATTGAATGTTTTTAATG